AGACGCATCCTTGAGGGACCACAGAAGATTCAATGGAGGATTTCGGAAAACTACTCCTCATGAAGATGAACAAATTCGCGATTATATTGTTCACGTTGATCCGTTTTCCCCAACAGTAAAAATAAAAAACGATCTCTTACTAAACGTTTCACGTTGGACTGTTCGACGACGCCTAGCGGAAATTCAATTTGTAAATAGGAAACCAGAAAAAAAACAGCTTTAACTCGTCATCATCGAGAAGAAAGAGTGGGCTATGCTCTACAGTTTTATGGAGAAGAATGAATGCCAAGCAGTATGTTTACATTTTGGAACACCATTTCCTACCGAACGTACGTAGATTACTTCCTGTAAACGAATTCGAGGAATTCAAAGTCATTCAAGACGGTAGTATGGTTCATCGAGCGAACTTGACCAAGCAGTGGTATGAGCGTCATCCAGAAATCACCCTTCTTCCACAGCCGCCTAAATCGCCAGATCTAAACGGAATCGAAAATATTTGGGGATATATGATTCGAAGTTGGCGTTCGGGAGAAGACCGAACGCGAAAAGCACATGTAAATCATGTCCATCGATCTTGGAATGAATTGAGGGAAAAACCAAGCCTCGTAGCGAATTGCATTTATTCAATGCCTCGTCGTTTGAACAGCGTTCTTGACAAAAACGGATATTGGACCGATTATTAAAATTAGGGTGACCGTTTTTGTTATAAAAAGAATTCCTGGTCATTTCCAGGTCATTTCCCGATCATATATGAATTATTTTTCCCGGTCATATTTAAAAATTTTAAAAAAATACCATGAAAGTATAGTAAATATTGCTTGTTTATAAATAAAAATATTCTACAACATAAACAATTTTTATAGAAGAATATATTTTTTTTAATGAAATATAATTAATAAATTTAAAAATAAATATTTCTATTTTCTCTCACAAGAACACTTTTTAATAAAAAAAATTTCAAAATTCCCGGTCATGAAAAAAATTCACTGTCATTTCCCGGTTTTTTAGGTTTTCCGGTCCAGCGGTCACCCTGTAAAATGATAACTAATCCTCTTTCAGTCAAAACTGAAGTAAGTTATTGTAACAGACTTGGGATAAGAGAAAATTATTATACGTTTTCATTTACGTATTTTATGAAATTAAAAATTATTTAAATTAATAATAATAATCGCGTTAAATTATATGGAAAATAAATTTACATGAAATTAATCCATTAAATTATTAAATTCAATTTTAATTTCAATATTGTATGAAAAATTTATTGCCATATAATTTTTTTCTCCCGTCTCGAAAAAAAGTGAAAGACAAGGTTCCGATATTATCTACAAATTAAAAAGCATTCTATTTTTTTTCTATTTTTTGCTTAAAACAATTCTTCCCCCTCATTTTCACTTGTATATAGAAGCAGACTTGGGGCTGACTAGAGCGATTACTTAATAATTTAAAAAAAAACACATCGAAAACTCTCACTTATGACAAAAAAAAAGAATCATAATTGTTAAATCTTAAAAAACAAAAATTGTAGGCTTATTCATATAGATTGATCAAAAATATTGATCAGAGGAATAAAAATTATAACATCTTTCACTAAAACTTTAAAAACTGATCAACAACCTTTCCATCTTTGTCTAAATATTATTTACACCTATTGGTATTATGACGTCTGACAATTCCACCATGGATAGAGGTTTCTTTCATAACATCAGGAGAACACATGGTATAATAGCTGTTAGACATATGCATCTATGGATACGTTATAGAAGGTGTTTGGCTAAACAACAGAATCATGTGAGGTTTTTGATGAGATGTAAATCTGGTGGTTTTATACCAGCACATATTCTTAATCAGAAGTGTCACTTGAAATTTTATCACCATTTATCTCGTCATCATTTTCAAAAATTAGTTTTTGATTTTAAAATTAAAATTTTTAAAATAGAAATTGGAGACAGTGTAAGATATGTAAAATTCCTGAAAAGGAAAGTTGATTTTATATACAGGGAATTCGTGGGATTGACTAACAACGACACTCTTAAATCTTTTATTGACTGTCAAAATAGAGTAATTTATAACTTTGAGATGTCTTTGATTGATAGTTCTATAAATAAGTATGATTGGTTAATTAAAAAATACTATAATCAAGATTATGTTAAGAAAGTAGATAGTAATTGGTTTAAGAATTTGACTAAGAAAATTATACCTTCCGACGTGCAATATTTTTTGAGTTTAGGTGACAAGTTTTACACTGACGTCAAAAATAAAAGTTCATACTGTGAGAATGCATTGTCGATGATTGAGGAGAAGATCGCCTTGATTCCGGAAGAGAAGAGAACAATTTTCAGGAGTGGTGTTTCTGATAAATTGAACAATTTTTTAAAAAACAGAATTGAAAAAACACAACTATCTGATATTGAAATTTTAGGGAATAAAACTAAGCAATTTCTAAAAGAAAATAATGATATAATCATTTCGAAAGCAGACAAAGGTAATGTTATGGTTTGCTTAGATAAGGTTGAATATATCGATAAGTGTATGCTTCTTTTGAATGATAAAACCACTTATTATGAAATTAAAAAAGATCCTACGAATGTTATTCAAAAGAAGTTAAACACGAAAATTGGTGAACTTTTATTGAAGGGTTACATAAATTGTCCAACTTCCAAATTTTTAAAGAGCTATAATTCAGTTGCTCCTAAGTTCTACGGGCTACCGAAGATACATAAAGATGGCGTACCCATGCGACCGGTAACATCCTTTTGCGGTTCTCCTTTAGCGGCTTTGTCTAAATTTATTAGCATACCTATACAAAAAATTATCAGAAACACCAACTCTTTTGTTAAAAACAGTTGGGATTTTGTCAATAAAATTAAAGACCTACATGTTCCGAGTAACTATAGATTGATTTCATTGGATATTAAATCCCTTTTTACTAATATCCCTAAGGATTTGGTTTTAAGATGCTTAAAATTAAAATGGAGAGGTATCAGGGATCACACAAAAATTCCAGTGTCAGAGTTTTTGGATTTGGTCGAATTTTGTATGGACAATTCTTATTGTCGTTTCCAAGAATATTTTTTCAAACAAATTTTCGGTACTCCTATGGGATCTCCCCTTTCAGGTGCTATCGCTGATTTAGTCATGGAAAAGTTGGAACAGGATATTTTAAAATCGTTAAAATTCAGTTATATTTTTTATTTTCGATATGTCGATGATGTGATATTCTGTGTCCCCATGGAATGTATCACCGATATACTACAGGTTTTCAATTCTTATCATCCCAGAATTCAGTTCACTATTGAAAATGAATTAAACAATTCTATTAGTTTTTTGGATGTATTAGTTACTAGAGAAAACAATAAACTTATTACTAACTGGTACAGAAAACCAACTTTTTCAGGACGTTATGTCAATTACAATTCTGAAGTTTGTGTCAAAGACAAAATTTCTGTTATTTATGGTTTGGTCGATAGAGCAATTAAATTGTCTGACGAAAGATTCCATGAAGCGAATTTGCGTCTGATCTCTGATATTTTAAAAAAGAACAATTTTCCAACAAAGTTTGTCGATAAATATATCAATTTGAGGTTGCAATCTATTTTCAATGTGACTAGGCCTCCTTCAGCGCCGAGGGTGTTTGATTTGGAGAAGATGGTGGTCTTACCATATAGTAAGGATCTATCATTTTTTCTAAAAAATGCTTATAAGGAGTTTGGAGTGAGGGTTGTGTTTACGTATGAGAAAGATCCCTTTAATTGTTTTAGTAAAAATAAAGACACTACACCGCTTAAATTTCGTACGCACGTTGTATACAGTGTTCCTTGTAAGTGTGGGAGTGTGTACATTGGTCACACTGAAAGATATTTGAAAGACAGAATGTGTGAACACAAGCGAGACTGCGAAAATGATAAAAGAAATTCAGCACTTGTTAAACACTCTCATGAGATGAATCATAAATTTTGTTTCGATAATGTTAAAATTTTATGTACAGAAAGATGTTATACTCGCAGGATTTTCAAAGAAATGTTTCAAATTGTTAAAAATAAGAAATCTGTTAATTTAAGAACTGACACTAATTCACTTAATGACATTTATAGAAATTTAATCTTGAACACCAATACGTTATAATTTAATTTGATTGATTCACCTTATGTGACTGTAGCGCTCTTTTGGTTCTTTTCTTTTTTGTACTAAAAAGGCACTCTATTGTATCGACTACTAAGCCTCGACAGTTATGACTTAGATTATTTGTTTTGTGGTCAACAACATGTGACTTGTAAGGAATGGGGATGGTTCTTCCTCCCTTTTTAATTAAGTTTTAAATGTTTTAATTAATATACATGTTCTTGTTTTGTAGTTTTATTATTTTATAGTATTTGTGGTTATTTAACAAGAATATTTATTTGATAATGAAAGATAGAGAGTAGATTTCGAGATTTGATTGGTGAGTGAGGTTAGCTTTCTATGTTGTATGCTTGTGAAAAAGAGTGTATACATTTTTGTTAATTCACTTTTTTCGCAGATTGTTAATGCTCTGAGGAGGCTCTGCGTCGTAGAGCGAAAGCTCAGTTTTTGAAAAAATAAAAAAATATTGATCAGAGGAATAAAAATTATAACATCTTTCACTAAAGAAAGATATAAAAAAAAAAAAAACGTTACGTTTATGATTTCGACGTTCCAAATTTGAGTGGGGCTGTATGCCAGGTAGTTGATAAATTACGGCAATTGTAACGTATGAAGGTGTTCGGTTTTTTTTCAAAGGTCTGTTTTGTTGCGTTTGAAAAGTTAAAGATATTATCAGCGTTACGTATTGAATTCCAAATTTCAATATGATTTAAACTTTTCACTTTGATAGGATTATATATATATATATTAAATTAAAAATTTAATATGATTTATATGTTAAAAATTTAATCTTCGAATTTAAGAATGAATTATTAAAGTATTAATAAATACATATAAAAATTGCGTCTTAAATTTATTTAACTGTATCATTAAAAGTTAAAATGAATTTATCGCAGGCCTTACCAAACATAGACAAAAAATATATTGATCGAGAAATGTTGAAATTAACACTTTCATTGTATAATAATCCCCATCTCTCGCGGAAAGGTGTTGATGAAGTCGTAGATACTTTTAACAAGTTCACTTCGAAGATGTTTATTCCCTTTATTCAAAAGGAGATGGAAACACATGTCACGCCTATATCAACTGAAATGGCATATTCTAAATCGCAATTTATTTTAGAAAACTCAAAAGATGTCTTTAAAAAATTTTCAACTGAACACTTACGATTCAATATGTACGAAGAAAAAAGTTCATACATACGTCCACAACTCTTCGAAATTGGAAAAGAGCCGACTTACATCACAAAGGACGATAAAAGTGTAATAGTGGAAATGAAAAGCATTTTTGCAGCATACGTTCCATTAAAAGACACATTGCAAACTGTTCTTTCGAAACCGGGCATATTGGACTCAATAATTCAATATATGGATGATTTGGGTGCAGATAAAAAATACCTAAGAAATGTTATACAAGGGGATTTATGGTTAAAAAAGTACCACGATCCGGGTAAAATCATTATACCACTTCATTTTTACTTTGACGAGTTCGAAACAAGAAATCCTTTAGGTAGCCATGCTGGAGAAGAAAAATTGGGTGGTGCTTATGTTTCTATCGCTTGTTTACCTCCCCATCTTTCTGCAAAATTAAAAAACATCTTTATATCAACAATTTTTCACTCTAAACATTTAAAAACATTTGGTAATAAAAGAGTGTTTATAAAATCCATTAAAGATCTTCATCTACTATCAACACAGGGGATAACGCTAAATTTAAATGGTTTAAATCGAACAATATTCTTCCAATTAATACAAGTTCTAGGTGACAATTTGGGTCAAAATATGATTTGCGGATTTACAGATAGCTTTAAATTTATACGCTTTTGTAGAATTTGTACTGCAACGAATACCCAATGCTTTGAAATGATAGAAGAGGACGAATCTCTCTTGAGAGATGTAAAATCTTACGAAAAGAATATTGTTGAAAAAAATTTTTCGGACAGTGGATTAAAGGAAAAATGCGTTTTTAATGAGATAAACAAATTTGATATTGGGGAAAATAAGTCTCTGGATTTTATGCACGATGTACCCGAAGGAGTTGGAGTATATACTATGTCCAAAATAATAGAAGGATTAATATCTACGAAAGAAATAAGCTTAGAGGTCATTAACAACAGAATTGAAAGTTTTCCATTAAATGAAGTAGAAAAGTCTAACAGACCAAGGCCTATATTTTATTCTGTTGGAAAAAAGGGTGGTCAGAAAATAAAAATTAGACAGTCTGCTTCTGAGATGATGTGTTTGATTAGGTACTTTGGATTGATGGTTGGCAATCTTGTGTTTGAAAAAAACACTTATTGGAAACTCTATCTGGTTTTAAGAAAAATGGTTGGAATCATGACATCTCCAACATTGGACAGAGGACAAATCCAAAACTTGACAGAACTCATCAAGCAGCACAACAAGCAATACCTTCGTCTTTTTGGAAAATTAAAACCGAAAATGCACTTCCTTTTGCACTATCCAGGAATTATGTTATTGTTAGGACCTGTTGTTCATTTTTCTGCTATGAAGTTCGAGAGAAAAAACAAAGAGCTTAAAGAATTTGCAACTGCAACGACATCAAACATCAATTTACCATTATCGATTGCCATTCGCCACCAACTAAATTTATGTTATAAAACGGAATTATGTCCACATATAGAAAAGGACATTATACTCGGAACAATTCATAATACAAATGCACACACTGATTTAAAAAATTTAATTCCGACCTTACCCGATGGAGTACCAACATATACTTTGAAAGAAATTGAAATATTCGGCAAAAAAATTTCTAAGGGAACAGTGATAGTTAGTAGAATTTCGGAAGATGGTCCTACTTTTGGAAAAGTGAAAAATATTTTCCACTGCAAAAATGTGTATATCGAAATTGAAGAATTCGAAACACTCTACTTCAATCACCATTTTTATGCGTATTGCGTCCAGTCTATTATGAACTCACCGATATTGTTAATAAATGTCGATTTAATACCTAGAATAACCCCTTGTTTATTCGTCGAAAAACTTGAAGATGAATTTATAGCGACTAGATTTGAAATATAAAGGTCAACTAACACACGCACAGTACCAAAACCGTAACAGGGTGTCAAATAAGGATTGAGAAAAAAATTCCCTGACTTTTTTTTATTTTTTCCCGGACATTTTAATAATCTTATTTCTGCTTTCTTTTGGACAAAAATATGGTTATTGACATATTTTACAATAAATTAATATATAATGGTAGTAACAAATGGTAATAAACACCATTCAAGTTTTTTTAGATTAAAAAATTTTTAAATTCACAAAGAATTTTAATTTTTGTAGAAATTTGCAGAAATTTTCCTGACTTTAAATAAAAATTTTCTGGAATTCTCTGACTTTTCCCTGACCAACAAAATTCCCTGACCTCTCGGACTTCCCTGACCGTTAGACACCCTGTTTAATCATTGAAATATTATAATAAAGGGTTTAAATAATAATCGTCGTGATTCTGTCCATTCTGTTTACACTTGAAGTTAGTCATGATTATGCTTCTGTTTTTTCAATGGTTTTAGAAGAATTAATATTAACAATTTGCCACTGAGAAAAAATAAATTATACAAATTTTTTCCTTGCTTTGAAAATTAACACTTTGTATTTTTCATTTTTTTATTATTCTCTTCATTTCATTCATTATTTTCAATTATTCATTCATTAAAAATATAAATCATGTGAATTTTTTCAATGCTTCGAACTAAAAGACTAAAGTTTATTAAAATAATGTTTTTGGCATATCGAAAGTATGCCGATTTTTTTAATTACTTCTAAACAAAATTAGAGAATTATTAAATGGTTAAGATTATTATTTAAAGATTAAGACACAGAAATAATAAAAATTTTTTTAAAAATTAAAAATTATTAAAAACTTATAGGGTCAACCGGGGTAAATCCGAACGGTTTTAGTAAGTTTCAACAATAACATAAGTTTTTTCTTTAAAAAAAAAATACTTCCGGTATTCTGGTGCATGAAGTTGTTACTTTACTTCCATAGAACAATTTTATGGGGTAGCATCATATATAAATACAAAAATCAAACAGGTTAAAAATTAAAATGCATTACACAATTAAAACCTTCCATAACTTTATCAAATCATAACGGATTTTTGAAAAACTTGGTACAGAAAGTATTTTGGAGTGATTGAATGTAAATACAAAAATAAAAGTCAAATTTTTTAAATTCAAAATGGCGGACTTTCCTAAAACTTATTTTTAAAAATGATCAAATTTGCTAACTCCAAATTCGTAATCAGCGATCCTGAAACCCCCCGAGTAACAATTTTCGAGCGAATCCAATAAATTTTTTAATTCTCGTCCACCATTTTGAAATTTGAAAAACTGACTTCAAATTGGTAATTAGCGACCCCAAAAACCGTAGAATACCAAATTTTATTAAGATCCTGAAAATCTTTTTTCAACAAACCATTTGGCAAAAAAATTGAAACACTCCTTCGAGAGAACAGAGATTAAGTTTCTGCTTATTAATTACTAACGAGGATAGGTATAGAAAGAAAAACTTTTATAATGTTAAAATAATAGTGTAATGAAATAAAAACAATTTTGTGTGGCTCTGATGTAAAAAAAAATTATTGAAAATACCGTTCGGATTTACCCCGGTTTTCCAATTATCCTGGGTAAATACGAACGGTCTGATATTATTAATAAAATTTTACAGAAGGCAAAAATCAAAAATAGTTTCTGTTCTAGTATTAATAACAAACAATTATAAATAATAAAATAAATTTTTAGCTTCTATTTCTTCAAATACGAGAGAAAATACTGAAAGAGTGTCATCTTTGATTTTTAATCTTTTTTGCAATACTCGTTATCTTTGTTTATGCTGTTGCTAATTAACAAACGAAAAATGAGACAATACTTAGAATCTCTTGAAGAGGATCTGAGATAAAAATTCTCATATCGAACTTATTTTTAAAAATTTTAATTAAGCTGAAATAATTAGCGTTCGGATTTACCCCGGCTGACCCTAAATTATTTTTTAAATTAAAAATTAAAAAAAATAAAAATATAAAATTACGGAAAAACTAAAGTTTGACTGGGTGGATTACAACTAATCTGACGCTTGCCGGGTTAAAAAATTTAAAAAAAGTTTATTTATTTAAATAAAATTTTGTTTAATTAAATAAAATTTCTTCAATATTTATTTTGTTCTTTGACATTAAACAAATTATATCAAATATAAATTTAAGAATCTATTTATCAAATAATTCTTTTACATTTATTAATAATTTTTTATAATTTCATAAATATTAATAACAATACATAACATATTCATCTTAACTTCATCTTTGAAATATAATAAAAAATTATTTAAATAAATCAAAACTGAGCAAAGAATTGAAAGCGGGCAGGTGATTCAGAAATATGCAAACTGAAAGTGGGCGTGGCTTAATAGTCTGTTCTATGAGTATCATACTGAGAGAGTATGAAGCTCATACAATCGTAGTATGTTTGTCTAACATACGTTTGGCGTATGGACTTCTTACTGATAAACTATGAATGTCATACAGTATTCGCATGAGAAAGTTTCATACATTAAACGTATGCCTCTTCATACTAAAAACGCATGGTTTTTCTCTCCGTGTAAGTAAGTATTTTTCCAAATTTTTATACACTTCTATACGTTATTGTTTACAAAACTGTAGCATCTATATTTATGTTTAGTTGATTAAATGTTCAAGTTTGTATTTACATTTTTCACACTTAAATTTATTTTTGTTAAGTGAAAATTAGTTAATATTTTTCAAATTTAGAATCAATTTTCGCTAATAACAATTTTTTTAATCAAATGTAAAGTTTTGGAAATGGAAAATTTTATTTTTTGGAATGGATGTTAAGGAGGTTAGTGAACCAAAAAAGCGTGGTCGTCCAGCTAAAAAAAGTAAAATTAGCATTAATGCAGGTAGAAAAAAAGTAAAAATTGAAGATGCTGGTAGAACTACTACGTATAGAAGAGCTCAAGAAGTTTTAAATTTTGCGGAAAATAACGTTGCTGTTGTTCAATTAGCTACACAAATTGGCAACAAAAAATTAATTGATCAGAATAAAGATATGAACCGTGATTTAAATTATTCTCATGAAAAAGTTGAAAGTACACACACCAGTGAAACAGCATTAGCATTTTATTTAGAACATAATTTTAATAAAAAAAGTTATACAGCTTTGACACAAGATACTAAGGCACGTGGTGTAGATATTTACCCTTGTTATAATATTCTTCAAAATTACAAGTCATCTGAAACAGAAGTTTTAGTACCTTTGCAAGACATACTTAACAAGACAAGTGAACGTTTGTGTGATTCTGTTGCTTTAAGCTGGGACAATAGAAATTTACGCCATCTCGAATTAACTACCACTTTAGGGTTTGATAGTTCATCAGGACATTTAAATCCGCATCAACATTATGATGATCGAAGCAACGAGATTTTAAATTCCTCTCAATCTTTGTTTGTTACAAGCATGATAATCATAAAATTGCAATCTTCTGGAACAAATAATAGTTCTTGGATTAATCCTACTACACAAAGTGTAAGATTCTGTCGGCCGCTTAGAATCGCGTTAGAAAAAAAAGATAATTTGTCAACGACTAGAGAATTCAGTCGATTAAATAAAGAGATAGAAAATTTGAAGACTCATACTTTTACTATGTCCAATAATAAAATAGTAACAGTAAAGTTTAATGTTTGGCAGACATTGTTTGATGGAAAGTGTGTTAACAGCATTGTCGGGAATAATGCGTCATGTAGGTGTCCAATGTGCTTGAGAAGTAATCATCAATTTGGGAATTTAAATGATAATTTTGGACCTGTGCAATCATCACTTAAATGCGGGTTAGGTTTGCTTCATTGTGAAATAAATTCTTTTGAACATTTGCTGCAGCTATCTTACAGAATGACTCTCGAAACATGGGATGTAAGAAAACCTTTTAAAGGTAATTTTTTAAACCTAGTTCTAAAATCAGTACTGTTTCTTTATTATACCAAAAATGGATTTTCATTAGCAAAATAAAACACATTGACTGAAATTATTTTATTTTATTATAATTATATTTACTTGCATTTAATTGAACTTTAATTAACTCGGACCACTTATCTTCTTTTTTTAGAATACAATGCCAAATAAGTCAAAAAATTTGTTTAAAATAATAATAATAATAAAATCTTTTCTTAGTAAAGAAAATTATGTTTAATTAAAAAATATATTAATTTAATTATTTTTAACAAATGTTTATTGGTATACATTATCTTTCTGTATAATAGTAAGAGAAAAATATGTTTTTATTAAGTCATAATATATTCTAATTACATAGATACATTCGAAACTAGAAAACGTTTAATACAGGAAAAGATATTTGAAGAACTTGGTGTAAAAGTTGACCAAGTATTGCAAGGACATGGAACTACTAATACAGGAAATCTTGCAAGAAAATGTTTTGAAAATCCAGAAAAGTTTGCATCTGCCCTTGAAATTGATCCCCAATTAGTTTCTAATATATCGACAGTATTATTAGCGTTCAAATGCAAGCAGCAGTTGATATTAGATGAATTGGAAAATTTTTCTTGGGAAACATACTGCCGCTATTATCAGCTGTACCCATGGGCTAGAATGAACCCTTCTCTTCATAAATTGCTTAAACACGAATGTCAGATTTGCAAAGAATTCCCATTACCTATGGCATATTTTGCCGAAGATGCAAGTGAAGCATGGCACAAATTATACAGAAAAAATTTTATTTCACAAGCGCGTCAAAATGCAAGAGATAATATAATTTTAGATGTTTTCTTTAGAGCAGTATACTCAACAGATCCCAAAATTTCACTATTTTACATAGATTACAGGGTTAAAAGCACACAAGAGCAAACAACTTCCAGCAAAAGTAAAACAATTTATTGTATAAGGGTAAATGAAAACCAAGCACTCTACCTTTTTCCTTCATCATGTTCAAACATAAATAATTACTGTATGAAATCAAAATTAATTTATCTGATGACCAATTTATTAGTTCTTTC